GGGTCTGAGGGAGGAGGCTGGGCCTGGACCCCTGGGTCTGGTGGAAGGGCACTGGGCCTGGACCCTGGGTCTGATTGAGGAGGCTGGGCCTGGACCCCTGGGTCTGGTGGAAGGGCACTGGGCCTGGACCCCTGGGTCTGGTGGAAGGGCACTGGGCCTGGACCCCGGGTCTGAGGGAGTGGGGGAATGAAACCCCAGGTTCTCAGATGCCTAATTTTTGAGCTGGGTTGGGGAATGAGTTGGAGGCCCAGGTGCACTTGGAGAGGGGGAAGGACATTCCCACTCTAGGCCCAAAGGCACAGAGCAGAGAAAACATGTCAAGTTTACTACCCAGCACTAAAACAGCCTGTGTTGTACCTCAGACTCTTCAAACCTCATCTTCCCCTTTCTGTCAGACAAAGAGACAAATCTTAGTCTGATGGGTTCTGGAAGGTCATAGCAAGGATGAACTGACATCAAAGTTGTAAATGGATGTTCTGAACAACAAAGGGTCTGTAATTAACTACCATATTATTCATCATTATTTTATTGTGTGAACACACCCTCTGTTTTCTTAACAAACTCCTATTCAACCTTGGACACCCCTATCCATGCCCCCTTTTATAAAAGTGTCCAGAACCCCAGGTAGGCAACCTGTTAGCAGCCACCTGGATTGCTGTACACTCCATGCCTCCAACCTCAGTGAGTGCTTTGGGGGCCACCAGCCTTTGCTTGAAGTTCATTTACATCTCATCTAGTTAGAAACAATTTCAATTCAGTATCTGAAAAGTTAACTTCTGAATAGCGATTGTAAATCACTTCCCAGGGAAAGGACTAGGAAATCCCAATTACGAGCATATTCACAGTCATGGTATGATTTTAGCCCAGATCAATGTTTTATTGGATTACAGATACTTTAGGCCAATTATTTCAGCATAATTGGGAATAGAGCCCTCTGTAATTCTCCAAAGAATCCTAATTTGATGAGTCCTTGGTTGCAAAACGACGAAGGACCAGAAGGTGGCGGTGTTGGACTATTTTCTCCCGCAGAATTTCGCTCCAGGGTCGCGCTCCGCAAAGGAACTTTGATTTCCGCAAAACCACGATTCTCAGACCTGGGAGGTCCTTGCCGCTCCTCTCAGCTTGGGCTTGGGCTGTCTCTCCCCGGAACTGCCCCAGCCTCCCGTCACCTCCAGTCCTCCGAGGGACCGTCCTCAGCGCTGACCTTGCCCTCCCTGCTCACGGCCCCCTTGGGGTTCCTCCTCCTCCGCCAGCCCCTGGCCGGGCGCTGAGGCTGGGGCTACCGGCTCGTTCTGGTTTCTTTTTAAAACTGCCACCCGTCCCCGGCGGCCCCTCCGCTCTACCTAGAACTCACACATGGTCACACAGAACTCAAAGATGGTTTAAAATGCCACACGCCCACGCCTTTGCCCTGGCTGTGCCCCCTGCCTGCTGTACCCTGCCCACTTCAATGTAGTGTCCCCGCCCCCAGAAGGCTTCCCCCGGGGCTCCCCACGCAGAGGGAAGGGAGCCTGTCCTGCGCACGCGCCCTCCCCGCCCCGCTCTCCTCCGCGCGCTCGCTGGGCGGACTGTGGTTTTAAACTCTCGCCAAGCGAGCCTCTTCTCCCTCTTGCCACTCCTCACCCGCGCTTCAGGGCTGACCACTTCAGATTTCTCAGTGTTCTGGGAGCTGTCAAGGCTGCATTTGGGCAACCACAGACACGCGGAGATTGATGGCCC